GCCGCCCGTGGCCAAGTCGGGCGGCGAGTACAGGGCGGCGGCGTCGAGGACGCTTGCGGGTTCGTTGCCCGCGGCGGCGCCGGTGGCGTTGCGGGCCACGCGGTACATCTCGCGCATTGCGGCGTCGGTCTCGGCGAAGGAGAGCGCGTCGTCCACGCCAGCGAGGCGCCTATGCAGCGGCGGATGCGGCCGAGAGATGCAGCGCAGAGGCAGCCGAGAGATGCAGCGCGTCGCCCAGGTCTAGGAAAGGAGAGCCTCCCCCCCTCGCCCCCCTCCGGGCGGAGGTACGCGAAGCCATCCAGCGAGGCAGCCTCGTCCTCCTCGCCGCCCGCGGCTCGCCCGAGCAGCAGCTTGCGCCGCACCGCCGCCGGAGCGGCGCAGAGCTGGTAGAGAGAGTGGAAGGAGCGCTCGCCTGCGGCGTGCCTCGCCAGGCGGCACTTTTCGAGCAGGTAGACCTCGACCTTCCCGCCGCACAGCTCGCCTGATGCGCACTCCTCTCGACTCACCATACGACCATACGACGCACTGAGGCCTCGGCCCGGCCGCCGCGCAGCTCGCCTCCGCCAAAGTGCAGCTTGAGCAGCTTGCCGAAGCGGGACGAGTTGTCGTTGCGCAGGGTGCACGCGTTACCAAACGCCTCGAGGATCGGGGACGACGCGACGAGTGCCCGCTTGACAGCGGCTCCGACGGCGGCGGTGCCCTCGTCCAGGGGTGCGGCGGTGAGGTAGCGGGTGAGGTGCTTGCACGTCTCTGTCTTGCCTGCGCCCGACTCGCCGTTGATAACGACGGACTGAGGCCGCAGCGCGCAGCTCGCGTGCACCTCGTGCGCCACCTCGAAGATGTGAGGAGGCCTCTTGAGCGCCGCCTGCGAGGCGCAGCTCGAGTGAGCCCGCCTCCCAGCAGTCTCTTCCTCCCTCCCTTCTCTCTCTCTCTCTCTCTCTCTCTCTCTCTCTCTCTCTCTCTCTCTCTCTCTCTCTCTCTCTGTGTGTGTGTGTGTGTGTGTGTGTGTGTGTGTGTGTGTGTGTGTGTGTGTGTGTGTGTGTGTCTGTCGCTCTCTCTCACTCTCGCTCTCTCACTCGATCGCTCGCTCGCTCCGTCTCTATATCCCGGCAAACACTCGCCTGCCGTTGCGCCGCCATCGCCTCCTCGCCGTACGTCGCTTCGAGGAAGGCAGCGTCGCGCTCGTACGGGTTAAGCGCGACGAGCACGCGGCCGGCGCGAGAGTAGACGCGTCGCTCCGCGTACCGCGTCCGCACCAGCGCCAGCAGCGACGGCTCATTCAGGCACGAGAGTGACGCCGCGTCGTCTGAGCCCTCACGATCAAGCGGGTTGGCGCCGCTCAGGCTCGCGCGAGGCACGCTCACGCGCGCGCCGTCTTCGCGCCGCACCCGCGCACTGCCGTCCGCCCACTCAATCGTGCACTGGCAGAGCCGGATCGCAGACTGATCGCCATCCTCCTCTCCGTCGTCGTGCGCCCGCACAAAGCGCGAGCCGCGAGCCGCGAGTTCGAGCTCGCCGCGGTCCTTGGAGGCGACCTTGCCCTTGGCATTATCCACCTCTACGAGGGAGCACCAGACGTGCCGCATGGGGAGTCCGCTCCGTTTGAGCGCCGACCGGAGGGCAAGCAAGGCAACAAGGCTCGCCGTCGACAGCTACGGCGCGTTTCTTTTTTCTAGCTTAGAGAAGAGAAGGGGAAGTGCGTGCGTTCGTTAATGGAGGCAACCGATGCGAGTGGTTTCGTATCAAGAATAATCACCGCTGCGCGAGATCATGGCGCGCAGGAGCCAAGCGTGGGGGCAAGGAGGTTGTACTCGAGTAGGTACCCGCTTACTACACCTCGAGGATAGTTCGGCTATTCAGAGCACAGAGGCGCTGGGCTACTCTCGCCGGTGTGTGCAGGGAAAGCGAAGTTGCGATGGCAGCCGGGCACATGACCTTGAAGAGAGAGGCGGCCCCTAGGGCGGCCCGGGGCGAAGCAGGCCGAGGAGCGCAAGTCTCTCACGCGGCTCGAGACTGTGCGCCAGGTCTTCTTCGCATTCACCGACCGCGGCTTGGGCTACGGTTGCAAAGAGGCAAAGGTGGCAGGCACGTCTCTCGCCCTACGGCTACGCCCAGACGCGCGGGAAGTTCCAAGTTGGCCGCGGGCGTGCTGCGCGCGCAAGCGGTGCCGGCGCTGCCGCGTGTGTGGACGCGGGCTTCTCCTTCCAATCTCCTTCGCAGAAGGTGTGTCTGGTGCTTTCAAGGAGGCTGCTCTCGCGCGTCTCAGGGATGCGGCCGTGTCTTTTCAGGAGCTGGTCGAGTGCACGGACGAGAGAGAGTCGGGAGAGAGTCTGAGCTGAGTGCCTCGCCGCCCTCCCTCCCTCGGGACTGCTGTTGCAGCATTCACTCGTTGCAATATTAAGAATCGGATGATTGGAAATATGCTACGAATCAACAGCGGTCCGCCTCCTCAGTGCCTCTAGACCGCGCAAGACGTCTCTCGACTCTCGCCCTCTCTCTCACGACACTGCACCTTCGACCTTCACGACGACCTAGAGATCGTGCAGTCGAGTGCGGGGACACATGTCCCAGCCACACAATCCATCTCAGAGTTTGAATGGTTTCATGTGTTTCTCTTCTGCGCGTCGCGTCGCGCGTCGCGCCTGCATGCGATCTCTGTGCATTCTGGGCGATTACATATGCGTAGCAGTACCACTCACCTCCCCCTATGGCGCTGTGCGCTGGTCTGTGAGAGGTTGAGGTGCGAGCCCTGGAGGCCCTGGGGATGGGGGGAGACTACCCGCGGGCCTAGAAGGCCCGCGCTTTCACAGCCTTGTTATGAGAAGCAAATACGTCCTATGGCGCTATGCGCTGGTCTGTGAGAGGTTGAGGTGCGAGCCCTGGAGGCCCTGGGGATGGGGGGAGACTACCCGCGGGCCTAGAAGGCCCGCGCGCAGGGGGGTGGGGCATTGAGACCGGTCATGAATGAGTGCGCGACACGCATGTTGCGAGCAGCGTTGTTGATGTTCTGCGCGTCGCCACAGACACGGCGGCGCGCGAGAGCTGTTGCGAGTGGTGCTGGACGTAGCCCCGGGCGCTGCCGGAGGCTGTGCCGTAGTCGGTGCGGTCGACGGCGCTCGGGCTGCCGACCTCTTTGGCGAAGTTGTGGATGATTCTCTTGGTTGGCGGCGCGATGCCGCCCTGGCTTTCGACGAGACAAATTTTGACGATTCCGGTCTTGACATGGAGCGCGTCGTAGTACTGTCCCTTGTGCTCTTTGACCCAGCCTTTGCCGGTCGCATGGACGAGCGGGCCCTGTGACTTGTGGCCGCGCTCTTTGCACCCAAGAACCTTGAGCAAGGTTTGGTCGAGGGTGCTGCCGAAAGCGAAACCAAACAAACGTGTGGCCCAGTGACGCACAGCATCCGCCGTGTGCCGCCGAGCCCTGCCCAGCTCGCCTCGTCTTTGTGAGGGCGCTAGGCACCTTGACTTCGTAGTGGACATCACGCTGGGACTTCACAGCCTTGTTATTGACAAGACAATACCCGGTACGTCCTATGGCGCTATGCTTCACAGCCTTGTTATTGAGAAGAAAATACCTCGTATGGCGCTGTGCGCTGGCCTGTGAGAGGTTGAGGTGCGAGCCCTGGAGGCCCTGGGGATTCACACCGAGCGGCCTCTTGTGTGGCGCCCGAAGGCCGGCGCGCATGAGCAACCCGTACACGGTCCTCGGCGTCGAGCGAAACGCGTCCGAGAAGGAGATCTCCAAGGCGAGTCCCCCACCCGCCGGAGGCATCTGCCCACGCGCTTCCGGCGCATAGCGGCTGCGCCCTTGCCGTACTCAGGCATACAAGCGGGCGGCGCTCAAGTGGCACCCCGACAAGAACACCGAGCGGCCGGAGCTCGCCGAGAAGAAGTTCAAGGAGATCTCCGACGCCTTTCAGCTGCTGAATGACCCCGACAAGCGCGCGCCTTCTTCTTTGGCCTTAAAGTGTCGTAAGCAGCCCGTGAGCCCTGACCACTTCCCTCAGGCGCGCCTTCTTCGATCGGACCGGCCAGCGCCCCGACCAGCAGCCGCAGATGCGCCGCCGCCCGCAGCATGGCGGCGCGCAGCAGGCGTTCACGCAGGGCGAGAGTGGACACCGTCCCACATGCCAATCACACAGCCCCGACGCACACACGAGCGGGGACAGAGAGAGCACGCCAGCCAGCGATGCCCCTGGGACCGCGGTGCTGTGGAAGGTGTACGCCGACGAGCTGACGCCGGAGGACATCTTCAACATGTTTTTCGGCGTGCCTCCCGGCGCCGGGCGGGCAGGCGCCCGCCGCAGAACAACCGGCGGGGGAGGAGGCGCCGCCACCAGCGCCGCCCCCCCCCTCACTACCGCCGCCGTTGCCGCCTCCTGTGTCGCCACCAGCCCTGCCGCAGTCACCCTCCACCTCGCCCGCTCCACACACCACCCACCCCGCCGCCTCCCACCCCCAAACCGCCTCCATCTCGCCCTCGCCGCCGCCTCGCGCCGCCAGGGCCAGCTGTCGCACGCCGCAGACCGTGCGAGCTGTCGCACGCCGCAGACCGTGCGGCGGGCTTGACTCGTCCGTTGGAGTGGCGGCTCAGGCGGCGGCGCGCAGCCGATGCAGCTCAGCCTCGCGCAGCTGGCGCCGGTCCTCATGCTGATGGCCTTCTCCCTCCTCTCGCCGATCTTGTTTGGAGAGCGGCCGCAGGCGTCGCGGCCGAGATGCAGCCGAGAGGCAGCCGAGAGGCAGCCGAGAGGCAGCCGAGAGGCAGCCGAGAGGCAGCCGAGAGCCGAGAGGCAGCCGAGAGACAGCCGAGATTTTGCCGAGATTTTGCCGAGATTTTGCCGAGAGCGGCCGCAGGCGCGGTTTGCTTGCACACCTATAGCACGCCGCCTGCGAGTTATTCCTCGCGCCTGTCGCCTCGCCTTCCCCCTTGCCCTGCCAGTTCCCCTCCCTGTTGCTGCCTCTCCCCTCTTGCCGCCTCCCTCCTCCCCTGCCGCCTCCTGACGCCTCCCCGCCTGGCCGCCTCGAGGGATGAGGGATGAGACCGTGTGTCCCTCGCACTCTGCCAGGCGTGGCGGCTGCACCCCTCCTCCCCGTGGCCGCTCGAGCGGCAGACCCTCCGCATGGGAGTGCCGTACTTCGTCGACGACTCGTTCGAGCTCTTCCACTCAGACGGCGCGAGATTCGCCGAGATTCGCCGAGATCCGCCGAGATCCGCCGAGATCCGCCGAGATTCGATTCGCCGAGATCCGCCGAGAGAACTCGCTCGAGCTCTCCCACTCGGACGGCGCGATCAATCGCTCGAAACGGACAGCTCTGCCCCCCCGACAGGCGCCTCTCTCGCCACGGCAGAGGGGGAGGTGGAGCGGCAGACGCTCGCGAAGGTGCGGCAGCGCTGCCGGCACGAGCGTGCCCAGCGCCAAAAGATGATGGAGGCGGCGGGGCACTACCAGGGCCAGGAGCGGACGAGCATGCAGGAGCAGGCCGGCCGTGCCCACATGCGGTGGTGCGACGAGCTGTCGCGTCTGGAGGGCCTCGAGCGGTCAGCTGGCCGGCGGTGACGCGGCCGCACGCTCGAGTGTGCGCGGCGAGTGTGCGCCTCGCGACCGGATGTATTATTGATTTACTCAACTCCAGTGTGTGGTTGCCTTGTGACATCCGGGTCCAAAACGGACCCGGAGACCGTCTGGGGACCCCGCCATCTACACAGATATGAAGGATATGCGCGCGCATCGCATCTCGCGATATATCCGGCTTCCGGGCGCGCATCTTGAGAATGAGATAATAATGAATAAGGTGGTTCTTGAGTGTTGTGAATCACGAGGCCGAGCTTCTCTCAAAGTCGCATGCTGGCGGCCGCCCGACGCGGCGCTTCAGCCAGCCCTCACGGCCCGGTACAGCAGCGGCGTCAATTGGAGCACTTTGGAGTGCAGTCATTAACCTCACTCAGTCTCTCTGGGCCGGCGCGGGCCCCCCCGGAGGCACCGTGCGCCGCGCAGCAGTGCGGAAACGGGGCTCCGGCTCTATGAGTCTCTATGAGCACCGACTTCCCGATTAAGTACGGTTAAGTAGAGGGCAGATTTGGAAAGATCTCGAGGAGTACATACAGATAGACCCTCCAACCATCAGAAAACTCCGACCTGATCGGTCGTACTGACCGCCGACAGATCACTCCAGACAGCAGACAGGCCGACGTCTGCACGCGGCCGGCCGGGCGAGAGGCTTGACACGATCCGACCCTGCGACCCTGACGCTGCTGCTCTAGCTATCAGCCATGCAATGCTGACTGCTGCCACAATGTGCGACCTGTGCTGGCCCACTTGGCGGCCTTCCCGGTCAGTGGTGAGGCGCAGTTCAGAGCTGTCGATGGCGCGATGCCGCACTGGTCCCACATTGGTGACACGAGACCACCAAGTTTGCAGGTCCAAGAGAGAGGCACCGGCGCTGTCCTGAGAAGGTGCGTGGTCCCTCTTGACTGCCCATGCGCGCGAGGCTGTGTAGGCATAGCCTCGAGAGTGCCAGCAGCCAATCCGAGGTGACGCGCATTGCGCCAGAAGCGTGCACGCAGCTGGAAGGACACCTTCCTACTGGCCGATCGGTCGTCACTGAATGCTTGATACTAAGGCCGCGAGCTATGCAGGTGATCAATTGTGCAGCATGGCACGGTCAGCAGCGCCGACAGGCTGTCGCAAGGCGTGATAGCATGGCCGCAAGTACGCCGAATTCCCATGAAAAAATGGGGGGGGGGGGGGGGCGGCGTGGCGTGGAGCTCCGAGATAGCGCGAGATTGTGCGAGATCGCGCGGCGCGGCCCCGAGATGGCGCGAGATCGCCCGAGATCGCGCGGCGCGGCCCGGGGCGGGGTGGATGGGTTGGGAGCGAGGGGGCGGAAGTGACCAGTGCGGTAGAGGGTCAGCTCGAGGCGCGTGAGCCGGACCTGTGAGCCGGACCACCCCCTCTTGTTATCTGCGTTGTTGAGCCAGGACTCAACATACTCGGGCTGTTGCCATCCCAAACTGTCACTCCCCTTTCTCCCGGCCGGGGTGGGGCGCGCGCGGGGGCGGCGGGTGTGCGGCGAGTGTGCGGGATGTCTGTGGGCCCGAGAGCGATATGCCATGTCCGCCTTGCGTTGTTTCATAACACCGAAGGCTAAGCTCAAAAAAATTCGAAAAAAGAAAAAAAACTCCAAAAAATCGGCGCCTGCGGCGGGCCATGGGACCCCATCTCCCCCCCGCATGGACACCCTCTGGGGCCCCCGCGCCGGCCCAGAGCTCAGTCTCAGACTCACACCCAACCACCCAGGGCCGGGGAGCTAGTATGTAGTAAGAAGCGCACCCAGCGGGCCGGATGATCGGTATCGGGCTACGAGGGCCCTTAGGGGGTGCACGTTCGCAGGGAAGGGGATAAAGTAAATAACAGAAGCGGCTTGTGTTTTTTACCTCGCGTTTTCACGACACGTGTAACTGCTGTCGCGAAAATGCGCGCCTCAAAGCAGCCGATCGACGGCGAGCACGTCGAGGCCGGGCGGCGCCTTGCGCTCGACCCCACGACGCAGAGCTCCTTTGCCAATGTCTACCGCCGACACAAGTGGGGCGGCGTCGGCGGCGGTTCGGGCCAGGGCTCAACGCTTGGATTCACAGGCATGCGCGGAGCACGGAACACGAACAGGCACACAACGCACCAACGCAGCACCAGCAGTTGAGCAGACGGCTGCAAACGGTGTCGCGCCCGTGAGTGCATGAGTATTCTTGATACGAAACACCGACTTAGTTCGTGTGAAAAATCGTCCATCAATGCTCAACTTTACCTCTAGGCCCACTTCGGAGGGTCCTGCTTGCGCTAATCCGCTCCCTCGGCGTGCACTCAATGCTCGACATCCCTTGCGGCGCGCTTGTCTGGCAGCAGGCCCTCTTTGCATCATTGCGCGCCGCAAACCATCCCCTCCGGTACCACGGAGCGGACATCGTCCCATTTCTGGTTGAGTCACACCAGCGCAAGCGGCGGGACCTTACGTCTCCACTGCAGGGCATGGAGGCCAACTTCAGTGTCGTAGACTTCAGCGACCGCCAGGCTGCGCTGCCTGCCGGATTTGACCTCTTGCTGTCGAGGGACGGCCTGCAGCACAACACACTCCAGCAGATTGCGCGCGGACTAGCCACCTTCTCGCGCGCAGCGGCAAAGTGGCTTCTTATCGGTCTGCTCACCCTTTTGCTATTCCCCTGGACCACTCCTTCCTCTGCTAGCTGGCTCCCCTGTGCTCCTCCTGGACCTATGATACCCTCTGCTCTCTGCTCTCAGCCCGGCCCTGCCTCGTCAGGCTCCTACCCGGACTCGCAAAACACCCCGATGGCGCGCGCGGGCAGCAGCCGCATCGAGCTCGATCTGAGCGCCCCTCCGTTCTGTCTGCCTCCACGGCGCGTTTACCTCGAGACCAGTCTGCTGCACACCGGCTGCGGCCGGAATCGCACCGGAGGGGCACGGGGTAAGCCCTGTGACCACGCAAAGCACCTTTACCTGTACGGCGGCGCTGACTGGCGATCGCCGATTGTGTTAAAGTCCGGCCCCGTGCCCTCTTCACCGCTCACGCCGGCTGTGTTAATAGGCAACAGGTCGATTTCCGAGCCATGGAGGCGCGTGCGCGGCGCCCGCCGTCCAGCTGGCCGCCGTGCGCCTCTCTGCACGCCCTCGCGCTGCATGTGCTCGTGCTTGCGGCGGACGGCACACACAAGGAGTGCCACAGAGGGGATCAGCACGCACAGGCGGGCCCCGAAGGCTATTGCCAGCACGACAAGCTGTCGCGACAAGAGCCCAGAGGCGGGTAGAAATGTCGCTAGACGCCGTACGGCAAGACTCTCCATTTGAGCCGCGCAACGCCGCTGTCCGAGCGTGTTTTTGTGTGAGTCAGATTTGAGTGTGAGGCCATTTTCCAGCTTTGCACAGAGCTTTTGACTTCGTTCAACCCTTTTCCTGGCTCACACTTCGAGGGCTCACAAGCTAAAGATGTTCACGGCTGCAGATTCACGGGCCCCCTTCTAGCCCGGGGACTCTTCAGCTGTACTCCGTCTAAGAAGAAGAAGAAAACGGACAACCCAAGGGAGGGATGTACAGGCTGTCGGGCCGTTTGATTTTCTTTAATTTTTGGGCCATCCCTGGATTGGGCGTGAATTCGGTGAATGCTGACCTGCCTCGCTGCGCGACGGCTCCTCGGCACCGCTGCTCCCAGCCCCTGGGCGGTGCTCGGCGTCAGGCGCGGCGAGGAACTGGACGAGTGCAAGCGAGCCTTCCGCCGGCTGGCTCTCTCGCTGCACCCGGATGTCGCGGGCGACGACCCCGGCGCCGCCGAGCGCTTTGCCGCCGTCGTCCGAGCGTTTGAGGAGATCCGCGACGGCACCGGACCCGGCACCGCGCCGCGCGGCCGCTGGCTCCGCGGCGTGCGCTCGGTGGACGATGTGCTCACCGTCTCCGTCTCCGACCTCCGCACAGACCCGGCCTACGAGGTGCACAACCTCCTCGTCGCTCTCGACGACCCGGCCGCGCCGCCGGCGCCGAGCGGCGCGGCCAGCGCCGCAGCCTCCGAAGCCGCCGCGGTGGTCGCAGCCGACGCAGCCGGCGGCTCCGCGGTGGGTGTCGAGATCGTGCATCTCCTCCGCTGCTTCCCCGACCACTCGATCGCTGACTTGCACGGGCTGGCCGAGGAGCTGGTTGGCGTGGATGCCGCGACGGCTGGAAGGCGGCGCGTGGGGGGCAACGAGTTGGTGTGGCGTGGGCAGCTGCTCGCCGAGCACCTCTTCGTGCAGGACTACGCCATCGCCAGCACAGATATGATACACTATGTCGTGTGCCGTCAATAACTCCGGTTATGGTAACAGACGGCGGCAGAGAGATGCGACTAGAGTACAAACATGGGCGTGTCGTGTGCATGTAGAGCGACCTCTAGCCCTTTTTTCAACCATGGCGAACAACAGACCGCTCTCCGCTGAGGCCTGAGCCTGTGTAGAGTGCTGAGGCCTGAGCTCTGTGACACCCTGTGTCGTGTGTGAGGAACACGCCGCGGAACACGGAGGATTCCTCTTACTACATCGCACCGAAACCGCCGTCCGGCCATTCACAGCTCGTCCCCATGCGGCTGCGCACGTCCGAATGCGCACGTTTCGAGTGCCTCGCGCACCGCCGCGACGCTGGGCGGCGCTGGCTTGCCGTCGGCGTCTGTGCCTGGCTCGAGGGGAATGAGCGGCGCGTGACTCCACGCCGGCGTTTCGAGCCCAGCGGCGCAGCGATCCCAGGAGGCGCCGCGGTTGAAAGAGACGTAGATGGCGGGCGCAGCGAGCCCGAGGTACTGCTCGAGCGGCGAGGGCAGGTAGAAGGAGTCGGCGGCGTATGCGTATGAGCAATGAGGCCTCCTGACCTGCGTGCGCCGCTGCGGACTCGAGGAACGCGGCGAGCAGCACTCCTGTGACACAGATCGTCGCAGGCTTGTCAAAACGGTGTGATCGTTGTGTCGTGGGTGTGTCGTATGGTCGTGGACAACGAGGTGCGATGGTCGTGAAAGGCAAAGGGAAGGCGTGGGTGTCGTGGAAGGCAAGGGGAGGGAAGGGAGGGGCATTGGGAGGCGGACGTGCTGGGCGCCTGCGAGCGGCAGGCGCAGCTGTGCGAGGACGAGCGGGCGCGGCGGCGCCCGAGCGCACCAATCGTCAAGCTCCGTCACGCCGTCGAGGCGCGCCAACCCAACCCCGCCGCTGCTCCCGTCGAGGTCGTCCCACGCCTCGAGCGCCTCCTCGGCCGCGCGGAGTTCCGCCTCGGGGTCTCGCCTAGTGGAGGCGCCACGTGTCGCACACTGCTGGGCCCGA